CTTCCCACTGTCGCCAAAGTGCTGCTCATTCGGGGTCATATGATTGTTGGGTTTTCTCTGTATCTATTATTGTACGATCTACTGTACAATATAAAGCGCCTTGAGGCGACAGTTGTTGTGATTTTGTGCTGTATAAATAAAATTGAATTGTTATGGCGTTAACGTCATTTTAACGAGATTAACGCTGACAGCACTACTATTAACACATAGTGAGTGAAGAAGAAACACCCAGAACCCCCCAGCAGCCTGCACCTATTGCAGCATAACTAAGGAAGGATTCAGGAACTTTGACAATAGTGAGTAAGATTTGCTGTTGGTCAGCCTGTGACACCCCCTCCAAACAGCCCATGCCTTGGGTCAGCCTGTGTGTGTCTCTTTTCAGCATTATTCTAAACTTGATGCTGTGTAATGATTAGTCAGACCAAACTAGGTGTCCGTGCTGCAGAGTTCAGCAAACGTCACTCCAAGGCACTTTTTTTCACTAGAATGCTTTCTAGAAGGAGTCAGTGCAGAATATTCGACTGCAGCTGATGACATAAATCCATCTTTTATCGTCCTTCACTCCTTGCTCGTTCTTATACTTTCTGGACGCTGTTGTTTCTTTCAGGAATCCGTATGGGCAGCATGGGCCTGTTCCTGCAGTGTGCTACCTCAACCTTTTTCTCTCTGGTTATGAGTCGTTTGGTTCGGCATTTGGGATCCCGGTGGGTTTACCTGAGCAGCATGGTGAGCTTCACAGTCTCCGCTTTGGTCATCTGCCTGTCCAAAAGCGTCGTCTTGGTCACTGTAATGGCAGCTCTCACTGGCTATGCATACGCGACACTGCAGACCCTCCCTTACACACTCACCTGCCATTACCACAAGGAGATAGAGGTAAGTATAGAAGTAAGAACTGGATATTCAAAGACATGTTGTAGATGATTACAGTCAATGATTCCTTTCTCATTTCAGGTCTACATGCCAAAAAGAATAACCAAAAGCAGACATAAAAACGGTGTAACAGCCATGCGGGACTCTGTGTATTTGACTCCTGTGGAAGAGGAGGGTGGACTGAACCACCAAACGGGGCCTCCTTACAGGCACGCCTTGTTCAGCCAGGACAGTTACGAGTACTACCCCGGCCCGCAAAGCCAAAACGGTTCGTCTCACAGCGCCAACGCCCCCGAGCAGGACGAAGCCGAGTCGGGCTTTGAGAAACGCGGTGTGGGCTTGGACTTTGCCATCTTAGACAGCACCTTTCTCCTCTCTCAGGTTTTCCCCACCCTCTTCATGGGCATGATTGTTCAGTTTGCTCAGTCCGTCACTGCCTATATCGCTTGCTCTGCCATCTTTGGAGCTGTCGCCATCTACCTGGCCAGTCAGATTGTCTTTGACCAAAAGGACCTCAGAAACTGAGTGATGAGATCGCCAATAATCAACCCTTCAGGTTCCAAGAGTGGTACTCGCTGAACTACTGTTCCCAGAAAGCCTTTTGCTAGTAACATTTTTTTGCTTTCAGCGACACTCTGCATTAAGGTATATCTGTTAGCGTGTGGCGTGTGAAACTGGCTTACCGAAGATAAAGTCAGGAGCCGTTTGCCGTGTTATAGCAGGAATTATCTGCTACCAGAAGAGTCACCACCTGCTCAGGTCCGATGAGGTACAGTGTGTACTGAAACATATTGAATTCAACAGACGTGTCTCTTTAAAACTGTCACAGCATAATTTCTGTCCACCTTTTTCCTCAGGTACCTTCAAACAGATTTACTGTACAACCCGTCAACCTCGAATACACCAACTAACTTTTCTGAATCGTATTTTTTAATTATCTTAAGCTACGGTTTTACACAGTGCAGTCGGTTTTTGTCTTTGCTCACTCGTCTTCACTGTCACTAAGGCATTTTCCATAATGGTCATCTTACATAATGACATTTAAAATTAAATTAGGTGAGCGTGGGGAGTCGTCAATCTAATGCAAGATGGCAGAACAGACAAATTGGTTTCTTCAGAAATATGCTACTTTATTCATTCATTTGAGAGCCTCCAGAGATGGTCTTGCCAACTCTGTATGATCTCTTATTAGACCGTCCCTTCCTGCTAAATGTCATCATCTTTCTACTTTATAATCGACCTTTTTTCTGTCAAATGTGCTTTCGTCATTACACTTGTCTAGTCTCCACCATAAGTAAACTAACTCCATACGTGGGTGGGGTACATATGGGGATGTGGTAGTTCTGTTGGGCCATCAGTATCCATTTCTCCTCCTGGGATTGGTCACGTCCAGGAGGACGATGGCATGTGGGAGTCACCGAAAGGTGAAAATGTGACTCATTTTCTTCAGTCACAGCATCTCATCCTTATTTAACACCTATGGGAAATTTTGTACCAGTGGTAGACGGCAATCGCGTGCACCGTCAGGGTGTTTCATTCCTGCTGTATATTTCCAAAGATTTGGAGCGGCAATGCCAAGGCCTGTTCTGGCCCAAAGCCTTATTAGGAGACCTTTTTTTCTTTCAGCAGTCAGTGAGCTATACTCTGAGTCTCCTCTTATCCCTCCCTTCCACGTCTAGTGCCATCTTTTAGTGCTGTTTACTGCGAATATTTGGATACATTTTTACTGTATAATCCCTATGGGAATTTGTTATGCAACGTGCTGAAGTGAAGTTTCTGACTGTGATGATTTAGCAATTAGGCTGTTCAGCTGAATGGGAATATCGCATCAAATGTCCTTTGTGTAGATAATCAAGAGAGGTAATCTAGACTAGTGGACTGCTTATCCTGTCGAGTAATAATAACACACTTTCAACGTTGCCTAAGCCCCGTTTAAGTTTTTTTTATTTTTTAAATGACAATCTAGGACATCCAGATGGGCTTGTTATATAATCCCAGACGTGAACGGTAAACACGCAGAGTGATGTCTTATGGATGCCCACGTCATAGCAACCGTTCTGGAAAACATCTCCCAAAAAGTTATGCAGTGCATGTCAACATTTGGTTACTGAAAATCATGCAAGCAAGGGCGATGAAGGCCGTGCGTGTTTGTATGTATGCATAACATGGAGGACAGATTGCAAGAAGTCATGAGTAAGTGTGAGAGTAATAGTTGGTATGACTCAAATGCAGTTTTTTGTTTCTTCTCTTGCTGCACCGACAGCAAGAGGAAAGAGTAGCCTGAATAATGCTTTACATCACGGAGCATCATCTTGGCCAAATGATGAAGAATCCATGTTTGTGTCAGTTCTTGCTGAGAATTTGTGTTGAGTCCTTCTTTTCTGATCCTACACAAACTGTTCGGTTGGTACAACAGAAGGATCCTATTTCCTGCATGGAAGACCAGAGAATTTGTCATGTTGACATTACTGCCAAGCAATCGACTTATCCTCCATGTCTAGCATTAACTGAAAGGTTGTTTTACAAGTGCCTGTACATTTTCCAAACATGTTTTGTACATATGCATTTATTTATTATGCTTCTATTACAATATAGCATGTATTAAAACTATTGGACTTTTTTTTTCGGCATCTGTCACAGGTGCAGGGGTGAAGGCTCTTTCTGTGAAAATAAATTATTTGTATAGATGTGTTATAGAAGCATTGGTAAAGCTGTAATTTATTTTAATATTACCCATTTCACCCCCTCTGTTGGCTTTGGGGACACTGCAGAGCTCGTTGCTGAGGTCTGTTAAGCCCTTTACACAAGCGACATGGTTTGAGTTTCTTTTTCTGTTTTCATGGTTCATTTAAGAAATCGTGTCCTTCGTCAGCAGTGATTCGTCGGGGTCATACGTCTCATCAGTGGTCAATAAACAGTTTCCGTTAACTGCAGTTGTCTGTAACTGGATGAGTGGAGATGTTCTCCTTGTATTAAAACAAAGTGACTTAGTGATTTAAGGCCAGAAGTTGTTTTTGATTTTCTGTTTTATCACATGACTTCAGCTACTTATTTCAGAGTTTATATCATTTTCACTGTACACCTGTCAGGCTGTGTATAAATGTGCAGTTACCAAATAGATTTTATACAAAATAAAAGATCTGCATTTTCAATGAGGTGGTGTCTTTGGTCCTTCATGCGACAGTGTTTAAAAATCAAACATTAGATGACAGAGGTCAGAAGCGTTTCTTTAATTAAATCTGAAACAAGTTCTGGATCATTTATTTAAATGAGCCGTTCACAGCGTCCACAATTCTGCCGAAGCTTAAAGACATGAGCGCTTCAAATGAACTTGGAAATGGTGCCATCCTTTGGAAACCTTGGGGAACTGATGTGTGCGAGAGAGCTGTTGGTGCGCAGCTGCGTTGGGCTCACTGACGCATGGACATACTGTTGGTGGCATTATCCATTACATGGAAAAGACGACAGGCTTTCATGTTACACGGAATGGCACGCCGACAATGTGCGCCGTTTCGTGACGGGCCTCTCCAGTGCTCCTCGTAGTTCTCACGAATGCGCCGTGAGAAATGCACGGCTTAGGGTATACGTGGAAAAACCTGACATGATTAAAATGACACGTTGGGCCTCCGTTACCCGGTCGTGCTGTTGAGTTCAGAGGCGCTCAGTGTCTTGTTCAAGGTCAGGGGGGCGGATGCTAGCCTGCACTGAAGGCTTGAACCTTGATCTTTGCCGTTGATTGGTGCGAGCTCCCCGCTGGCTCTCTGGCCCAGCTGACATTTCAGTTTAGGCTTAAAAAAGCCTAGATTTGCTGGGGAAAAGTCTTAAACGTGGCAGGAAAGAAGAGCGACCAGCACAAGAGCCCTGTCATTGCTCTCCGGTGACAAGTGGGCCTGTTTTTACACCTTCCTTCTAAATAAGGAAGCGATCGGGTAGACATATGACCACCGACCCAATTTGGGAGCAGCCCGAGTGCCCGTCGCGTCCCATACCGCGGAACGCCAATAAGCTTTCTTCTCTTCCAGTTAGGCAGAAACAGCAGCTATCCCCCTCACATCTCCGCTGTTTTTTCTGCCTTTGCAATAACCCTGCGGGTGAAGTCAGCATGATGTCATCTAGGGATGCGATAGTCTTGGCGAGGTTGAAGGGTTTTTGGTGAGCGCAATATTCTGAACTCTTACCGAGAGAGAGAGGCTGTCAGAAAAGGGAGAGAGAGAGTGAGTGTGTGAGAGAGAGGGGCGCGGGGGAGCTGCAAAACATGGTAATCACCACCACCACCACCAACATCACCATCACCATCACCTCCAGCTCTGCCGCGCACTCTCCCGTCTCCTCTCCTCGTCTGCACCGGGGCTTGCGTTTCATGCCCAAAGCACTGATCTGTGCTCCAAAAATAACCCTCAGTCAGCATGCCGAAGGAAGCAAAACAAGAAGAGCGGTATTTTTAGGGTCATTAATTTTGACCACGTGGCCCGAAGGTAAACCGGATGGCCGTTGCGCAAAGGCTCCTCGTCAGTATGTCCTGCGAGGCCGGCACGCCGCACTGGACGCTGACCGCAGTGGTTCTCCTGGGCTTTCTGCTGGGGATCGTGTCAGCGTACCCTTTACCGAGCAGCAGGACAAATGCAACTTTACTGGAGAAACGATGGGAGACCCTCTTCTCGCGCTCTGTGCTCGGGATCTCCGGAGAGAAACCGGAGCTGAATTGGGAGAGTGACTATCTGCTGGGCATCAAAAGAGTGCGGAGGCTCTACTGCAACGTGGGCATCGGGTTTCACCTTCAGATCCTCCCCGACGGCAGGATAAACGGTGTACATAATGAAAACCAGTACAGTGAGTTATATCTCCACCAATGTAATGCAATAGACATAAAAGAGAGACGGTCAATAAGCATGGATCTGCGATGAGCAGGCTAGTCTATCCCCTCTATTCATTTGCATGATCGCGTCTCATCCGAGTCGGGGAGAGAACTGAATTTCTTCCACGGCAAAGACAAATCTGTTAAAGCACGCATCCATCAGTACTGAAAACCCCTCTTCCTCCCCCCTCCTCCTCCAGCTCAACCATGTCACGAATGTATGGACGCTTTTAGACACAACTTATTTTTACGCAGCCCTCTGAGGGCGGTCCGGGAGACCAATAGCCGTGCACGCCGTGCAATTAGGACAGCTATTATTGCGATAACCACAATGCGCTTAATTAATGCGCCTGGATGCAAATGGAAGATGGGGTGAAAGATGCAGAACAAAGGCTCGGCATGCTGCGCAGCAACCTGCAAGGTTACACCCATAGACGCAGAGAAAGCACAATGCTACAGTGGCGAAACGCACGCACTTAGCCAGGATGCTCCTTTGGTATGTACCTCACTGCTCACTCTAACGTAACGCATCTTTGTCATGTATCAGGTCTAATAGAGATCTCGACGGTGGAGAGAGGAGTGGTGAGCCTATATGGAGTGAAGAGTGAGCTGTTTGTCGCAATGAACAGCCGTGGGAGGTTATACGGAACGGTAGGTATGCACAGTATTTCGTTTATTGTTCAGCACTGTTGGTTAATTGGATCCTGAAATCAGGACGCACTTGGAGCTCGATCCGCCTTTTTTCTGTTTGCCTGTCATAAATTGGAAAGAGACTCTTGCCTTATGTGGCTGCAGGGGAGCTGCACGCTACGGCCTGCGAAACCTATATTTCAGTTTCATCAGGAATTTCTAAAGCTATATTTAAAGCAAGTGTGCGAGGCCTGTTGGCCGATGGGTAAATAATGATGAGGTTAACAGATGAGGGATTTAGATCGCAGGGCTGTACCGTGTGTGTGTGTGTGTGTGTGTGTGTGTGTGTGTGTGTGTGTCTCAGAGAGAAAGAGGAGGAGGGAAACCCCCCTGGTGACAAGAAACCTGTCAGCACAGTTGAAAATCGATTTTAATGGCAAATGGCGCAGCACACACATGTTGAGAGGCACATGGGCAGCACCTTCCACAGGCCTCCATAATCCTGCCCTTCAAACATGTTCACTTTATTTCTCTTGTTAAACATTTAACTCTAAAAAAGACAATCTGTTCTTAAGAGTTTCCTGGCAGTTATTACTCATGACTTTGTTTGCTTGTTCTCCTCAACAGCCTTTGTGGTCTTTTGAAAATATGGATTCAGGATCCAATAAAACAAAATGACTCAGTGTTTTAAAGGCGCTGAAGATGCCTTGAGGTAGAGCAGGTTTTCTTTCAACATGGCAAGCAAGGTGACACATGGAAACCTCTGAGTTTCATCAGGGTTTTTATTGATAGCTGTCAGCTCAAGTCTTGTATTTGATATATTTTATATCCTCTGATTCTCTGAGGTTGAGCATTTTATTGCCTGAGGACCTCATCAGATGCTTTATAATTCTTCCTTTTAGTGTTTTGCAACTCCATCATCTCCTCCATTGCTTGACTTGGATAACTGGAGTACTCTGGGTCTTAATCAGAGTTTCAAGCTTGTGCATCTTATTATTGCCCAATGACCTCACATTCCCAATGTGATGGTAGCTAGAGCACAGTTTACATTCCTTTTATTTAGTTCGTCACTGAACTCCTCATCTGCTCTGTGTTTATTTATAAACAAAAGTGGGGCATAGAAACGACTCTTGGTCGATGCTGTTATCAGATTCTCCCACATGCCATCCTTTTAATGACCTTATCAGACAGGAAACACGTGCTTGTTTGAGCTGACGTGATCGGTTTGCTTTTAAGCACATTGATGACAGTTATTAGCTCCGAGTGGTGCGGGAAGGAACATTATGTTTAGTGGAGCCCTGCTGACACATGAATGTGATTGTGGAAAACATATTTGACAGACAGAATGTGAATCACTTATCTGGTCATGAGTGATGAAGCGTTAGCTTGAGAGCATGGTGATGATCTGATAAGAGACTGAATTAGGCCACATGGTCTCTGATGGCGAGTGTGACTGT